GGTTCGACGCGCCCTACAAGAGGACTTGTTCATATTTACTTCAACCCACGTGGGCTTCTGGCTCCCATTCCAGGACCCTCCGCTTGGGCGGTCGCGCCTCCCCACACCTGTCCGCTCACTTGTCCTGGAACTTGACCCCCCTGAGGCCCCCCTCAGAGGTAGAAATGTAGTATCTCACACCTTTCTGTATTTCATATGAAAATCGGCCTGCATTGTATCTTTGTGATACAACCAACGTAAGCCCAAATAATTTTCTTTAAAATCTGGCCTTACCCACCTCACTGTTTGTACACGGGCTTGACAGCTCAGCATCTTAGAGCGTGCTGTGTGGGGCTCCTGTGTATCACTTGTTATTGCCACGAGTTCAGGGCCGAGCCCCCTAGCCCAGGGTATGCATTTGGGGGTCAGCAAGGAGGCTTCTGTAAAAAGGCAAAAGCGAAACTAGGACATTCGACTGTTATTCTGAGCTGGTGTTCCCGCTTGTGTGTCTCTGCAGGGATTTTTCTGTCTGGTTATGTAAGATGAGAATTCATTCTGATGTTTGAACAACTTGGGGCCGAGTGAGTTCCTGCAAATACTGGCGGCTCAGTATCAGGATATGTTTATCTTACACTCACTTAAAATCCTCATTTGTGAAATCAAAGTTTCTATTCTGTTCTAGAACAAAGGTTGGCAAACTGTGGTATTTGGACTGCAAAGCCTGAAATGTTTACCATCGGGCTCTTTGCAGAACATGCTGGTTGTTCCTCATGAGCGATGGGTTGGAAGGAGCAGCCGTCGGGAGGTCCATGAACCCTGGAAGCTGGGTGCAAAGTCTGGTTCCTGATACGCGTGTGCATCTTTGGAGGTCAAGGAATCAGAGCTATTGGAGTCTCAAGGTATTTAAGAACTACTGTAGAGTGCAGTCCCTGCACGTTGCTTTAGGGCCCCGTTCCCACCGTGAGACAGGAAGAAGGCTGGGGAGACAGAGTGTGGTCTTCCCCAACCACGCGTCTCCCACATCCTCAGTGCTCCTCCTGCCCCCTTCAGAGCACCTCTGAGAATATGTGTGTGTCTCCAGGAGGATCTCCCTCCCGAGAACCACGCCTCCCACCACATGGCCCAGTGCTGCCCCAAATTCTGGAACTACAGCCCGGGATGCGTGCTGGGAGCTCAGAGCCTGATGCAGGGTCGCCACAGGAACCCGCCATCTCTCGTCCCGTCTCCGTGAAGGTTGCCAGGCTGCCCTTCCCAGGCTGGTTCGCTCAGGAATCGGGATGTGGCAGGGATGGTGTTGTGGGAGCCCGTGCCCTCGTGGGGGGCTGGGGCTGGCCTCTGGGGCTGCCGAGGGGCCGTAATGCCACATCTGCCCTTTTCTGCTTTCTTTCTGACTAGTCTCCACTTTATCTACTGAGATCACTCTGAACTTGGATCCCGCTTCCCAGAACACAGGTGTGTCTTCTGTAAATACAAGGTCATTGGCTCCAAGGCCCACCTGAATCCAAAAGAAATTCACTGAGGAAGAAAGCAGCAGTTTTACTTTTGTGACTCAGTCTGATCATCTGTGTGAGGGACAGCCACACGCTATGTGGGTGGAAATAGTATGTAAGAATATCTGGCTTTAATCATCGCAGCGCCTACAGTGAACGTGGGAAGAAGAGACTAGAAGCTTTACCTCGGGGCTGCAGTGCTTAGGAAAGCAGCTTTTTACCACAAATGTTTAAATGACCAGACTTTTCCATTCTGAAATGGAATCACACATCTAATCTAATTTACCCATACACAGAATTTTAAAGAAATCAGTGTAATGCCCTAACAGGAATATCCAAAAGAAATTAAAGGGAAAGTCATTTATGATGAATTAATATGAGCCCCACACTGGGAGGCAAAATGAGTGATTTGGACTCTCACACTCACATATAAAGAATAAGTTCGGGGCACCTGGGTGGCTCAGTTGTTAAGCATCTGCCTTCGGCTCAGTCATGATCCCAGGGTCCTGGGATCGAGTCCCGCATCGGGCTCCCTGCTCCGTGGGAAGCCTGCTTCTCCCTCTCCCACTCTCCCTGCTAAAATCTTAAAAAAAAAAAAAAGTTTGGATTTAAGAGACGTAGGAAAAGATTTAATGGACATTTTTTAAACTTTTTAAAAATTACATTTGACATTTAGAAATGAGGGTCGAATAAACTGGCTTACACGCATGCACACACGCACGTGCACACATGGTTCCAGGCGCCCCCCCGGGGCCTTGGGCACCATGAAGGGATTTTCTGAAATGGTGAATAACTCCTCGTCAAGCTCCAGACGGAACAAGGTACGATCATCCCTAGATTTACAAGGTGGTCACGTGCCTGGAAAACTCAGTATATAGTAAAACAGTGCAAGAAATACGTTGTTGGCCCCGAGAAGAGAGTCAGGCTCTGAGGTAGTTTTGAGCACGGTTTTAGCTTCCGGGGCCACCTGGTGGGACATCCTCCAGCCACGGGCGCCCAGCGAGCCTCCCCGCTCCCTGGGGGGCTCCCGTCACCTCCTCTCCGCTACCAAAACACCCCGAAACTCCCCGCGTGCTCACAGGATGCTCCGGCAGAGGTAGCCTCCCCGTCGGGAGCCCCTGTGGTACACGGGACATTTTGTGGATAAAATGCAGTTTCCTTCTTACCAGAGACAGTTCCTCCAGCAGATCAAATGCCCTGACATTTCGCCGGTGGGGTGACTCACTCCACTTTGTATTTCCTTTCTGGCGGCAAGCATCCTTCCCCACCTGTTGCACTGATGGTGAAGGTAGCCGAGTCAGGGAGACAGACCACAGATAAGGAAACCAGAGGTCGCACAAGGTGATGAAGGGCTTGGAAAATACGCAGGGTGGTTTCAAGAGTCAGGGGATGGGGAGTTATTGCGAGTAGTGAGTGTGGGGGAAAGCTCTTAAGGAAGTGTCCACGTGAGATCCAGCCATGTGAACAGCAAACAGGAAGCAGCATGTGCCAAGGCCCTGAGGTTGAATAGAGTTTGGGGTGGCAGATGGGAGCCCCATGTGGTGGAACTAACACCAGGCCTGTTTCCTGTTCTTCCCTCAGGTCTCTGCTCAAATAAAGTATCATCAGGGAGGGCTTTCCCAGCTACTCTACAAATAGCCGCCGGCCCCCGCCCTGGCGGTCCCAGTCTCCATGTTGCCGGTTTATGTTTCTTGTTCTGTTGGGTGTCACCCCTTCCTTGCTTGCCTGCACTAGAACATAAGCCCGCGAAGACGAGCGTGGCCTCTTTGTTCACCCCCTCCTGGGCCCCAAACAGCACCCAGCACATGGCGGACGTGCAGCGCATGCTTGTCCAGATGATGCTGGGGAGACAGGTGGAGACAGACCACGGAAGTGAGAAGGAGGGGAGCCGCCTGGGGAATGCAAGGAGAGACCAGAAGTGAGTGGGGACAGGGGGGTCTTCAGGCCACAGGGCGAGCGGCCCACAAGAGGTGCGGGGCCTCCCCTGCTGCCGCCCCTGCCTCAGCCTCGGGTGGAAATGGTGGAGAAATGAGCAGCCCTGATCAACATTCTCGCCGAGTTCTTCCCCATGATTAGTAAATGCACGGTTCGAATGCTTGGGGTCAACTCCGGGTGCATGCCTACTTCTGATTTGCTGTAATTTGTGTGTCTCAGCCTCAGAGTTTCCATGGAAACCCCACCACAAATCAGCCCCAAGGCGGAACAAAGCCTCTGTAGAGCTGTGGGCCAGCCCCATGAGAAGCTGTCTCCGTGGCTGCGGGTTAAGGCTCTGTGCAGACCCACACCTGCTTACTGTTACCCCCTTCCTTCACCCCATTCTCCGTCCTCCAAGCCACGGGGTCCTTCCTTTCCTCCAGAGGTTCCACTCAGAGCAGGCTGAATGCGCCCCCGGCACAGGAGACGGGACGCCTCACCACCCGGCGCGGCGCTGGGGACACAAGCCAGACGCAGGTATGGATGCCCTGTACTGACGCCCACAGGCTGTTCTAGACCCGCCACGTCCAATGCTTTGTGGAGACTGACAAAAAGGGCGAGCGTTTGTATGATGAGATGTGCCATGTGTGATGCGACATGCTGTGATAATGCATGCTGTGTGTGACACGACGTGCCGTGTGAGATCCCATGTGCCGTGTGTGATCCCATGTGTCATGTGTAATACATGTGCCATGTGTGATGCGATGTGCCATGTGTGATCCCATGTGCCATGTATGATGTGACATGTCATGTGTGATCCCATGTGCCATGTGTAATACATGTGCTGTGTGATGTGACGTGTCGTGTGTGATGCGATGTGCCGTGTGTGATCCATGTGCTGTGCGTGATCCCATGTGCCGTGTGTGATCCATGTGCTGTGTGTGATCCCATGTGTTGTGTGTAATACACGTGCTGTGTGTGATGCGACGTGTCGTGTGTGATGCGATGTGCCGTGTGTGATCCATGTGCCATGTGTGATTCATGTGCCATGTATGATCCCATGTGCCGTGCGTAATCCATGTGCCGTGCATGATCCCATGTGCTGTGTATGATCCATGTGCTGTGTGTGATCCCATGTGTCATGTGTAATACATGTGCCGTGTGTGAGGCGACGTGCCATGTGTGATCCCATGTGCCATGTATGTGGAGCGAGAGCAGAGGGGTAGATGGGCTTGTGCCCTGGCCAGGGCAGCTGGGGAGCAGCTGTGGAGCCGACAGCAGGTGAGGAGGGGTCCCTGGCAGGGGCGGGGGAGGGGGAACACAAATGTGTCTCTACCTGCTATTTTCTCCAGCTTTCTCTGCAAACCTTGAATAAGTGATTGCATGAACTAATGAATGAGAAACAGACTGTTACAAAGATCAAGTACCTCTGAGGCACTTAGAACAGCGCTTACTACACAGTGTAAGTCAGAACGAGAAGCACTATCTACACTGACACGTCAGCCACGGCCACGCCACGGGGTTTGGAGGGGCGGGCGCATCATGGGGGAGCCCTCGAGTCCTAGGGGCCCGGGTGCGATGCCTTGAGCTGGGACAGCTATGTTTCCGTCCTCCCTCCTTCCCCTCAGGATCATGGGAGGCCACCTGGACTTTCTGTTCGGGGTGATGCTTGCAGCCGGCCCTGTGCTTGGGATTCCTTCCTGTGCCTCTGATGGTCCGAGGGCCTTGTATCGCTCCTGCAACCTCACCCAGGTGCCCCGGTCCCCAGCACCACCCAGACCCTCCTGCTGAGCTTCAACTATATCCAGACTGTCACAACCACATCCTTCCCCTTCCTGGAGCGGCTACAGCTGCTGAGCTTGGGACTCAGTTTATCCCTTTCACCATTGGCAGAAAACCCTTCAGAAACCTGCCCAACCTGAGGGTCTTGGACCTGGGCAAGAGTCAGGTGGATTTTCTGCATCGCGATGCTTTTCAGGGGCTGCCCCACCTGCTTGAACTTAGACTCTTCCACTGTGGTCTGCCCGATAATATATTAAAAGATGGTTATTTCAGAAACTTAGAGTCTTTGTCTCACCTGGACCTGTCCAAGAATCAGATTCATAGCCTTACCCTTCATCCTTCATTCTGGGAATTGAATTCCCTGAAGTCCATTGATTTTTCCCTCAACCAGATCCCCATCGTGTGTGAACATGAGCTCCAGCCGCTGCAAGGGAAAAATGCTCTCCCTGTTAAACCTCGCTGCCAATCACCTGTACAGCAGGGTCTCCGTGGACTGGGGCACGTGCATGAACCCGTTCACAAACATGGTCCTCGAAACCCTGAACGTTTCTGACAACGGCTGGACCGTGGACGTCACGGGAGCCAGATCTCTCTGGTTCTGGCCCACCACATTATGGGGTCCAGGTTTGGCTTCCAGAACATCAGGGACCCCGACCGGGACACATTTGCTGACCTGGCCGGGAGTGCGGCGCTGCAGCTGGATCTGTCCCATGGCTTCATCTTCTCCCTGAACTTCTGACTTTGAGGCCCTCAAGGACTTGAAGCTCCTGAACCTGGCCCAAAACAAGATAAACAGGATTGCAAGAGAAGCATTTTATGGCCTCGACAGGCTCCAGGTTCTCAACATGTCATATAACCTCCTGGGGGAGCTTTATAATTCTGATTTCTATGGACTCCCTCAGGTAGCCTATATTGATCTTCAAAACAATCACATTGGGATCATTCAGGACCAGACCTTCAGATTCCTGAAAACATTACATACCTTGGATCTCCGGGAAAATGCTCTTAAAACAATTCCTTTTCTGCCAAGCCTAGACACTATCTTCTTGGGTAGCAATAAACTGGCAGCCTTGCCGAACATGAGACTTAAAGCCAAGTTCATCCACTTGTCAGAGAACAGGCTGGAAGATGTGGATGATCTCTATTTCCGCCTCTGCGTCCCTGACCCCCAGGTCCTCATTCTGAATCAAAACCGCTTTTCCTCTTGCAGCCGAGCTCACGGCCCAACACGGAGCCTCAGCTTAGAAAAGCTTTTCCTTGGAGGAAACACGTTGCAGCTTGCCTGGGAAACCGGCTTCTGCTGGGATGTGTTCAAGGGGCTCTCACGGCTCCAAATCCTGTATCTGAACAACGACTACTTGGCCTTCCTCCTGCCCGGGGCACTTAGTCACCTGACTGCGCTGAGGGGCCTCGACCTCAACTCCAACAGGCTGATTCAGGCTCTTGCTCCTGGCGATTTGCCTGCTAACCTGGAGGTGCCAGACATGTCCAGAAACCAGCTCCTGTCCCTGGACCCCAACTTGCTGGCGTCCCTCAGAGCCGTGGACATAATGCACAACAAGTTCATCTGTGAGTGTGACCTCCATCCTCTCATTACTTGGCTCAACCAGACCAACGTCACTGTATTTGGGTCTCGTGCAGATACCTACTGCACGTACCCCAACACGCTCGCAGGGATGCCCCTCTCCTCTGTTTCCATGGAGGGCTGTGATGAAGAGGAGGTCTCGAAGGCCCTAAAGTTGTCCCTTTTCGTCTCCTGCACGGTCACTCTGACTCTGTTCCTCGTGACCATCCTCGTGGTCACCAAGCTCCGGGGGCTTTGTTTCATGTGTTACAGGGCTGCCCAGAGACTGCTGCCCACGGTCCACGCCGAGCGCTGTGAGTCCGACACGTACAAATACCGAGGCCTACCTCTGCTTCAGCGGCAGAGACTTTGAGTGGGTGCAGAGGGCTCTGCTCAGACACCTGGATGCTCAGATTCAACCTGTGCTTTGAAGAAAGAGACTTTGTCCCGGAGCAGGAGCATGTCGCCAACATCAAGGATGCCGTGTGGGGCAGCAGGAAGGTGGTCTGCCTCGTGAGCAGACACTTCCTCCAAGACGGGTGGTGCCTGGAAGCCTTCACTTACTCCCAGAGCAGGTGTGTGTCTGACCTGGACAGCGCCCTCATCCTGGTGATCGTCGGGTCCCTGTCCCAGTACCAGCTAATGAAGCATCAGTGCATCAGAGGGTTCGTGCGGAAACGGCAGTACTTGAGGTGGCCCGAGGATCTCCAGGACGTTGGCTGGTTCCTTTACCCACTCAGCACATTCTGAAGAGAGATGAAGGATGCCAACACGGACGGTAGCATCCAGCTGCAAACTGTGGCAACCGTCTCCTAGTCAAGGAGCATTTCGAGCTAATCCCAAGCCACGGATAACTCTTACCATTTCAGGGTCCTGTTTTGGAGAGGTTTTTGTTTTTTTCCTACTAGGAAAACAACATAGCTCTTGATTCCCACAGCCACAGGATGCCTGGTCTCACTGACCCGGAAATGGAAAGGAATCCTGTCCTCTCCAGTCGCGCTGACCACAGGCCACGCCCTCGTCGTGGGAAGGGCCTGGGAGAGGGGTCCCAGAGGGCTGCGAGCCTTCCTCTAGCGCTTGCTCTCAGTCGCTCAGTAGGCAAGGGGCGCCCTCTGCTCCGCAGAACAACACTGACGAAGAAGCACAGAAAAGAGGGCGTTTCCTGCTTCTGCCACAGGGATGGTGCCGCCGCTCGGTGCCAGTCCCGCTCCGTCTGGGGGCAAGCCGTGGCCCCACGGAAGCGGGCGGGACGGTACCTGGATCTCATTGCAGCTGTAGTGCTCTCCCTGTTCCTTGTGAGCTCTTCTTCGCACGCGGCCTGCATTCCCCTCCATTCTCTCCCACACCCCGCTCGTCAGCTGCACACAGAGAGCCTGGTTCCAGGCCTGATTCTACTGCTCGGGGTGGCTGTGTGACTGTGAGCACGTGACACACCCTCTCTGGGCCTGGTTTCTCATCTGCGGGCCCGGTGCTGTCTACCAAGGACGTCAGGCTTCTCAGATCTGCCCTGCTGTGGCCCCGAGGGCGTGCGCCCACGGAGGGGCCTTCTGGAGGCAGTGGGAACTTCTCTGAAGTTGTATTTTTTTTATCTTAAATCTCTACATATTTTGCATTCTTTTTGCGTGTTTATTTTAATACAGAAATGTTTTTCTGCAAAAGTACTAAGAAAATTTAAACCAAGGAAGGTGTGCCAGAATATTGCCTGTGGCTTCATGCACAGCACCCCCAAACCCAGCAGCCCCAGCTCGGCTGTCACATTTGAGGGGTGCCCCTAAGCCTAGGGCCTAGTGCTCCAAAATGTCCTTCCTGTCCCTGTGCCCTTGGCCCTGCCTCCTCCAGAACACACATCCCCCGACTCCACCTCTTCCTTCTGGAACGTTCTTCCAGCTCTGCACATCCATCCTTTGTGTTCTTCAAAACCCAGCCCATGCGGCCTCCTGGGAGGCCTCCAACCCAGCATCCTCTCTCCCTTTTGTGCAAATTCTCGACACCTTACCTGTTCTTCTAAAACGCACTTATGACTTCCTGTGAGAGCCATGGGGCTGTCTGGCCCCTCGCCCCTCTGGACTACAAGCTCCGTGGGCAGACATTTCTTCGATGTCCCAGCCTCACTGGCCGTCACACACCACATACGGTTTGGGGAAGGAATTCCTTCTCTCCGTCCTCATCCCCATCTGCCTGGTGAATTTCCATTCCTGTAACCCTACAGATTTTTGTCACTGGCCTAGACTGTGAGCCCATGATGGCAGGGATGTTGTCTTGTTCATCATTGTAGCCTAAGCCCCATACAGTGCCTGGTCCATAGTACATGCTTAGTGAGGGCCTGGTGCATGGATGAGGTGTGCTGCGAAGCCCAGCATCCCTGGTGTCAGTGCCTGCTCCTGGGAGGTGCTGGGTGCTGGGTGGGGAGCAGAGGGGCTGGGAGCCCGAGGCTCATTTCAAACCATGCAGCACGGCGTGGGGCTCCTGGGTTGAGGGATGGTCACAGTTTTGATGAGCAGCCAGGGGTTGGGCTAGAATGAGGGGATGGAGAGATTGGATGGGGGTTGGAGGGGTGGAGGGATGGTGTGATGGGGGAATGGGGGATGGGGGATGAAGGGGTGGGGGATGGAGGGATGGAGGAGTGGGGGATGGAGGAGTGGGGGATGGGGGATGAAGGGATAAAGAAGGGAGACAGAGAAAAGCACTTCTCATGAGTGTTGTACTAGGAAAACACCCCCACACCAAGGCCGTAGGAACAGCTGTAAGCAGGAATCAGGAAGGCGGTAAAAGGCCGCTGACTCAGGACAAAGCTTCCTGCCACATGGGGCAGCCATGCTTCTCCCCACACGGCAGGAACCTGGTCTTGCATCAGGACCATCAGGAAGGGTGCTCCCTTGTCCTGGCAGGGTGGGGGTTCGGGGGGCAGGGTTACCTCAGGTACCCCCTTGCTTTGGGTGACTGTCCCCATGACTGTTTTCCAAGCCAAAGCCAGGCCTGTAAAGGACAAGGGTGAGTGTATCTGTGGGAACAGTAGGTTGGGACAGAAGGAGGGAGTCCATCCCACAACGCTTTCTAATCCTCTTACTCAAAAATCCAAATAGCAGTAATTTTCCTAATGAAACACATTTAAAAAGCACCTTTTGACGTTTCTTCATAGTTTATGGTGGCGGGGGGGGGGGGGCCTGTTCACAGCAGATGTCCCAGCCACTGTTGAACTCAGCAGGCCACTCTAATTTATTCCTGAATTTCTCTTTTCTGGCAAAGACCCCAAACATTCCTCAGTTCTTTTCATTTGACTTGCCTCCCATCAGCCGACCCAACAGCTGGAATTCTGTTTCAGGCCAGTTTTCCAAGTGTTGCTTCACAAGACCTGGCAGGAGGAAAGCCTGGCCAGGTCACGGGACGGTGACATGGGCGCCCGGCGGTCAGTGGAGAAGCTCCTTGCTGAGCTGCCGTGCTTGCCTCCCGTGTCACAGCATCACCGTCCATAGAGAGGTCCCTCGGGGTCACTCTCAAGCGGGAAGAACTACAGTCTAAGAATGGGGAGAGCTTGCTGTATGTGAGACAGACTATTCTGGAAAAATCTAGACTCTTCTTCGGGGCTGCTAGAAACGTCCAAGGGAATCTGACTCATGGCTCCAAATACACTTGACTTTGAAAGTTTCCTCTCAACCGTGTGAGTCTGCAGTGAAGAACGTAGTCTCTACATGACGTAAAGTAGATGTGGCTGAGCGTTTGCGATCATGAAGTAAGTCTGTTGAGAGAGCGGAAGAATAGGGAGCACACATGCTCGTCTACCGCAATAAAAAATCGATACAAAACGTCTGGAACGTTAAATCAAGAGCCAGCATTCTGCGTGTGTATTTAGAAATAGGGAAATGCCAGAAAAAAAGAACTGGACAAGTGAGTGGTGATTGCGGGACTCCTGCTGCTTCCACGGGGATACTGAGTGAAGCTGGAGACGTGAGTGCTACGGGCAGAGCTTGCAAGGAATTTGCAGGCCCCGCTCAGGCACCGTGGTCCAGGCCACCAGGACAAGGCGGCTTTATTCCTGACTTTGGGCTGGAAATCGTGTTTCTTTTCCGAGGGCAGGCACCTCACCTCCCCAGGAAGGTCGCCTCCCTGAGACACGACAAAACTCAGTGACATCATGTCTCATCCGGCCCCTGCAGGAAGCAGGTGTTTCGTCGGAGTTTTCCCGCTGCCCTGACCTGGGCTTGCCACTCGAGCAGCCCTGAGGGCCTAACGCTTGAGGCTGCGTTCCTGGTTTTTCCGATGACCTTGGCCGTCCTTGCTCCCAGCTCTCTCCCTGCTGCTGCTGTGTTATGCGGCCAGCATCGTCCAGGCCTGCAGGTCGTGCCAAGCCTGGAGAGGTTTGCAAAAATAAGTCACCAGGGTTCTGTGTGCCGGGCCACTGAAAACAAGAGGACCTTTTGGGAGAGGGCCTGGAGGAAGACCTTCGGGCACAGGAGTCAAGCAAAGGGAAGGAGGCGGGTGTGGGGCCGCTGGCCGGCGCAGGCACAGCCGCCAGATGAGCGTTGTCTGAGGACGCGGCCGCAGAGGGCACTGTGCGCGTGGCCCCCTAGTCAGCTGGGTGTGGTTGAACTGCTTGGAGCGCCGGGTTTGGGTTTTTTGTTGTTGATCGCCCCCCACCTCCAAATTAAAAGAAGCAAAGAGTGTGGTCCTTCACAAAATAACTGTGTGTCGAGGCCGGGCGGAGCCCGGGGAGCACACAGGCCACCAGCTTTCCGTGGCTCCGTGAGGCTGGACACCCGCCCCTGGGCTCTGGGGCAAAACCAGCCCATTTTCTGAGACGGAAACCCATGGGCTGTTCTCTTTCTAACAAACATGGATCCCACGTGGACGCGTCGATGCGTTTGCACAAACGTCTGCAGCAGTGTGAGCGCCTCCTCGGTCAAGACGGGGAGTATTTCTGTCGCCTCGAGAGTGGCCTCCTGCCCCTTCCCTGCGGAACCCGCCACTGCCCCACCGCAGGCGGCCAGGGTCAGGGTTCCCGCCAACACGGGGGAGCTGAACTTCACGTAAATAGGCATTCAGTTAACCCCTTGCATCTGGCTGGACACTGAGCAGTCTGCTCCTCTTCACACATTTTATGGATTCACGAGCAGGTGTTTGTGCTGCCTCCCGCTGAGGCTCTTCCTCACCCACAGAACGAACGGGGTTGCTGCGTGCGGAGCTGGTGTGGCCGTTCCCTCACAGGGGATGAAGGGTTCGCAGAGGAGCGTCCACCTGGCACTTTCCAGAATGGCTGTGATGGCTTTCACGGCTACCAAGGGCGTGAGGCTCTGCGGGCCCCACAGGCCCCAGCCCGTGGCGGGCGCCCTCCCACCTGCATTTTCCTGCCGACCCTTGTGGGAGCACCAGGGCAGTCAGGAGCCGGGTGGCCGAGGGTGAAGGCCTGAAAGGCTGCTGGGGGCCACTCTGCGAGGCGCCTGGGCCCCATCTGCCGCCCACCCGCACCCGCCGCGTCTGGGCTCCTTGCGGGAGCCCCAAGAGCAGGCGGCGGGTGGGCACACTCCCAGGCACGGCCCCAAACACCTTCCACACGTTCACAGGAGGAAATGCAGACCCATGAGGGACGAGCAACCTGCTCAGCTAGTAAGTCGTCCACCCCCGGGTTCTTCGGACTCTGCTTCTCTGTAGCCACTGAAAGTCCCCGTTCTCCCCCCATTGCGGCTGCTCTCCATGCGGGGACAGACCCCTCAAGGCCTGTGCCGACTGGGGACACAGCCTGAACCAACATGCTCCGGACAAGCCTGAGTATCCCCCACGCCCCGGAGGCCGAGCCCGTGTGGCCACGAGGGGCCCTTCAC